TCACCCTCTATTTTCAGCTTCTCCTTTGGTTTTTCAGCTCTAATATGGGTTTGGGGTGGCTTAGAAGCAAAATGTGAATTGAAAGTAAAGAAGAAACTCACCTTTCAATGTTGCCGAGGGTTCCGGTATGACAGTGACAGTGGCTGGCTGCCCTTCTTCTTCTTTTCTAACGAGTTGGTTGCGGCTAGGGTTAGGGTTTCGGTGGAAGAAGAGTTTAAATACTCATCTCCCTTCAATCTAGGTCATCCATTTAAGGATGCGTGGCTCAATCTTTGTCGTTAGATCCATCTTATTTGGGAAACAAATTAGGATCGCACGATCAAATGCATTAGGAGCATTCAACCGCGCTTGAAGGAAAAATGAATCTGGGTCATTCATGCGCACTAGAGTAAATTTGGACCGTCTGATTGGTTGGTACGCGGATTGCCCGTGTGGCTTCCCATGTGGACGCATATCCGTGTGTCTGCCATACAACACACGGTGACTGGTCCCTCTGTTGACGTAGTGGTCTTACGTGGTCACTTTTTTATTTTTTTTTATTTTTGCCCCAATTTTTCAATTTTTTTTTTTCAAATAGGTCATTTCTTATTTTCAGTTTGGCTCTGACTTTTGAAAATTATTTTCAAATACACCCAAAATGTTTATTTCTTTAAAATTTCTAAAAAATTAAAATTAAAATTTTTAAAATTTATTATTAATATAATTTTGATTATCCCGATATTAAAGTTCAGACTCAGGTGTTACAAAACAATTAAAAATATTTGAATACATATCAAAATATAATTTATTTACTATTAACTCGCTATAATCTTAATAGTATAATACTTCAAAACCCATAATAGAAATAATAAATATGTCCAACTATTATTAGGGATAGACATTGTAATGATTAAAAAAGTACAATCTTTAAAGTATAAACTAACTAATCTATAAGTATACTGTTATATCCGGGCCCGAAAAAACGGCTTGAGATATTTTTTTATTTTTTATTTTTTAAATTATTTATTAAAAAATTATTTAAGTTAGTTTATTTTATTTAATTATAATTTTGAAATAAAATTAATTAGGAACGAGATTGAAGATAATTTTGGGAGAAAATAGTAAAATTTTGAGTTTATGGGGCATTTTTAAAAAAAAATTAAAAACAGAGGGTTAAAGTGTAAAAAGAAAAAGTTCGACCACGTAGAACTGCCTAATCAGTAGTCTCGACGAATCAGAGCGTGCCGTGTGGTAAAGTACGCTGATATCGGTACCACGTGGGAGGACACGCTGGCTGCATGCCCTACGATCAAACAGCTCAGGATCAATCTCACATGCGTGGGCAGCCCAGATTCATTTTCTCCTTAGGTGCGATCAGACGGTCGAGATCAATCGCGATAAACGGGTTAAATTCGTTTTTTCCTTAGACACAATCGGATGGACGAGATCGATCGCGATGGACGGTCCAGATCAACGTGAGATGGGTATAAATACTTCGTATCACACACAAACCTAAACCCTAGCCGCCAGCCCCCGGCGGAGATGTAACACCCAAACCTTTTTTTATATTATTATTTTATTATTATTATTGGAATTATTTTGGTTTATTTCATTTTAATAATTAATTTATTTTGTAATAATATGTTTTAATTTAATTTAATAGAAATAGAAATAATAATAATGATAAAATGGGGTAAAATTATTTTTGGGATTTAATTGAAATTGATTTTGGAAAAAATGGGTAAAAATTTGGATTCTGATGGTGTTTTTCAAAAGAAAATCGAAAACCTGAGGTCAAAAAGCAATTTAAAAAAATATGACACGTCAGCAGCCCCAGCCAACCAGGACACGCCGCGTGGCAGGGACGCTGACGCGGGAAGCCACGGGGGACGAAGACACGTGGGCGATCCGCATGCGCGCGATCGGACGGTCCAGATCCGTTCCCGCGCGCACGGACAGCTCAGATCTCATGCGTGCGGACGGCCCATATCTCATGCGTGCAGACGGCCTAGATTTGATCACGCAAGGACGGCCCAGATTTATTTCTAATTTAATCGCGATCGGACGGTTCAGATTAAATCGTGATGGATGGCTTAGATTAAAAGGGGAATGTTATAAATAATTACATCCACACCCAACCCCAAACCCTAGCCACCAGAACCCTCACCGAAGAAGACGATCCAGCCACCGGAGAAACCGGCCGCCGCCACCCGCCGCCACACCGAAGGATTTTTGGGTCGCCAAAGGAGGTAAAATTTCTCCCCTTTGCTCATTTTTCGATGTTGAACCTCCCTGTGGCTAAATCGGAGCCAAAGCACCAGCCAATTGGCCGAAAAATACCGTCGAAGTCCAGTGGCACCGCCGCGGGTTTCCTCGATTTTTGCCTCCGATGAGGCCCTTCCCGGTTCTCGTTCGATGTAATTTTTAAACCATTGTGACCACCGTCCTTTTCTCTACAGGTTGACTGGAGCAAAACACCAAATCGTAACTCGCATCGGAGGAGTCGCCACACCCGAGAGCTTCGCCGTCGGTAAGTCTCAATTTTCTAGAATTTTTTGGCCCACCGAGGTCCCTAGGGGTGTTTTATCACATGAACCAATGCAAGTTTGACTGAATTCGGCCGAAAACGACCGGAAACGGCCAACATGAGGTGGATCGCCGTCGTGGGTGGCGGCGCCGTCGCCAGAGCACGTCGGAGCCGTCGTGCCAGAATTTTAAAATTGGCTGAAAAGGCCCTGGGTCTGATTTAGGATTTTTTGGGGACATGTGCAGGTACCGGAAGTGTGTTTTAGTTTTCGAAAAAAAATTCAGGGAATCTAGGGACTGCTCGTGGGCGAAGTGAGAACCCAATTTCAGACTCCGAAACAAGTAAGGATCTCTCACTCTATTTCCTATTACAGCATTAAAGCTTAATAATTGATAAAATAGTATGTTATGAATTAATAGATATGTATAATTAATTAGGGTTGCTAATGAAGCCCGAATTTGATGTATTTTTCAGTCAGGTGTTGTTTGATTTATTTTACAGTTTTGAATGTAGTATGGTGCCTGATGTGTTTATTATATGGTTTCGTAAGCATGAATCACGGTTTCATTTATTATTGTTTGAATTATTATGAACCCGATGTTGTGTTGCCTTATTTGGTGTCCATTACTGGTTTACATGTTTATGTTTGATTAGATAATTGAGATTAAGAG